AGTATGCTGGGTGTATGCCGGGTCTGGATAGAGTTTGGTAGGAGTATGCAGCTCACAGTATGCTGGGTCTGTGCCGGGTCTGTTGGGGTATTTGTAAGAGTATGCAGCACACAGGACGCCAATTCCGTGCCGGGGCTGTAGGAGCATTGGTAGGTATACAAAACTCACATCAGCACAGACCTGGCATACTGTAGGCTGTATACCCCTACCAAAACCTATCCAGACCCGGTACAGAGCCGGCATACTGTGGGCTGTATGCCCCTACCAATACCCCTACAAACCCGGCACAGACCCGGCATACTGTGGGTATAATACCCCTACCAATACCCCTACAAACCCGGCATACACCCGGCATACTGTGAGCTGCATATTCCTACCAAACTCTATCCAGACCCGGCATACACCCAGCATACTGTGGGCTGTATACCCCTACCAATACCCCTACAAACCCGGCGCAGACCCGGCATACTGTGGGTATCATACCCCTACTAATAGCCCTACAGACCCGGCATAGACCCGGCATACTGTGAGCTGTATACCCCTACCAATAGCTCTACAAACCCGGTACAGACCCGGCATACTGTGAGCTGTATACCCCCACAGTACCCCTACAGACCCGGCACAGACCCAGCATACTGTGGGCTGTATACCCTTACCAATACCCTTACAAACTTGGCACAGACCCGGCACAGATCTGACATACTGTGGGTATTATACCCCTACCACAGCCTATCCAGACCCGGCCAATACCTGGTATACTGTGTACTGCATACCCCTACTGATACTCCTCCAGACCCGGCATACTGTAAGCTATATACCCCTACCAGTGCCCCTACAGACCCGGCATACTGTGTGCTATATACCCAACCAATACCCCTACAGATTCAAGCTAGGCCTGGCATTCTACAAGCTGTGTACTCTTACTAATCCCTTGACTCAGAATCCTGTGTACTATACACCCCTACCAATAACCATACAGACTCAGTCAATACCCATGATCAAGCGCTGTATACTGTATTCAACCCAATCAATGATCTAGCCATTGTCCAGCATCTTCCACATGTACCTGTATCTACACTACAACAAAACCGAGTCATATCTCCAATCATTTGTGATGTATACCTCCACCTATTCTTCTGTAGAATCAGCACATACCTTATCACAATCCACAGTATACCACCTGAGAGGCAAGCTATGCTGAAGTCTGACCCAGCATTACCTAGAAATGCTGAGAGCCAGGCTTGAGTTCAATCACTGGGACACTCCATTCGTGTCTGCCTCTGGCCTGAATTTACTAATGAAATCTAAACATGAGAGTAGCGTGGAATAGTGTGTCTACCAGTCCGGGCAGCAAAGAGTGAGTACATGGATTGGCCCTCAATATGCTATATCCAGTGCCTGTAACTCAAACTGGTCAAGAAGACTGTATGCACTATCACTCAGATTGAAAAGTGCATAGGAACACCAAAGCCTTGTACAAAGACCAAAAATGAAATTGGTAGCCCATGCCATATGTAGCTACTACTGGTATCCCAGGCTGTGGCTACACTCATCTTATAGTATCTGGGACATTGAGCGACATGCACTATTCAGCAGAGACTCCAAGCGCACATAGATGTTGGAAACATGCATCAAGCTTCTCAATTGATGTCAGGCTGTTCTGACCATTTGATGCTAAGTCTGGCTGATACACATCACAGTCTATGCACTATTGTGTGCCTACTATTCAAGTTAGCAGTGAATAGTGCACCACTGAATCTGACATGCTGAAGTGTAGGTAGAGACAGATAGTAAGCTCTTTCCATGATTCCTGACTTGAAAGCTGGTACTGTACCCGGCATTAGAGGCTATACCTGGCTTAAAACCGGCCGTGGAGATGCCATACCTGCCGGGTCTGGGATGACCAAGTGAGTGTAGAGACTAGGAATATGAGCTAAGCTCCCAAATTCATTCTCCACCAGAAACTCAAGGCCATAACATTTCGAACTTAAAGCCTGGTGCTATACACATCGTTCGCTGCCATACCCAGATGATACACAATCCATTGCATGCTCTACCAGCCGGGATTAAGTTCAATAAGATATTACAGAGCAAGGAAACCAAACCTAAGTGGGAGCTTAGGTTAAGACTCAGAATTGAAGGCCATACATCTCAAACTCCAAAACTGGTGCCATACCCATTATCTGATGCTATACCCGGCTGAAACCCGGCCCCGTGGATGCCATACCCGCCGGGTCTCGCATACCTGCCGGGTCTAGGACAACAAAGTAAGTCCAGAGACCAGTAACTTGAACGAAGCTCCCAAAGTCAAGCTCAATCTGAAATCGAAGGCTATCGCATTTCAAACTCAGAACCTGGCACCATATCCGTCAGCTGATGCTGTACCCAGCTGGATACCATCCCAGTAGATGCTATACCCGCCGGGTCTGAGATCAAACACTCAGTGCAGGAGTTGGAACCTCATGTTAAGCTCCTCAATTGATTTCAGACTCAATATCAAAGAATATAGCATTCGAAGCTCAGGAACTGGTGCCATACTCTTTATCTAAGGCTGTACCTGGCTAATACCCGGCCCAGGATGTTTCATACCCGCCGGGTATAGCACACCCGGCGGGTCTGGGACTACCAAGTGAGTACAGGAACCAGAAACTTGAACTAAGTTCACAAATTTACCCTGAACTTGAAAGCAATGGCCATAACATTGCAAACTCAAAACCT